TAATACTTAACTAATGAAGTTTACAACTTAGAATGTGTTGGCGAATGCATGATCACCACATAGATTGGACAGAGACGCACTGAGGACATGAGCAAAGTTAACTCCTAGGTGAGGATGTTCAAGACAGCATAAACAAGGAAGAAGACTCATCCACTCATCCTTAAGGCTGTGGGTTGGGAGGACTAGGAGGAAATGGGGATAGCAGACTGTGGGCATTCCCCTCCTGTGCCCCATGGCTGCTGTGTGTGATCCACGCTGGCCACGCCCCCTCCTAAGAGATGGAAACCTTTGACATGGTGAGGAGCAAAGTAAACCTCCCCTTTTTTTTAATTTTATTTTTTTCTTATCAGTTACATTTTATTAACTCTGTATCCCAGCCATGTCCTGCTCCCTCATTCCCTCCCAATTCCACCCTCCCTCCCTCATCTCCACTGTGCCCCTTTCCAAGTCCACTGATGGGGGGGGACCTTCTCCCCATTCATCCGATCCTGTTTTATCAGGTATCTTCAGGACTGGCTGCGAAGCCCTCCTCTGTAGCCTAACAGGACTGCTCCTCCCTTGGGGGGTGGGAAGGTCAAAGAGCCAGTCATTGAGTTCCTGTTAGAAATAGTCCTTGTTCCCCTCACTATGGGAAACCAATTGGTTACTGAGCTACCACAGGCTACATCTGAGCAGCGGTTCTAGGTTATATCCATACATGGTCCTTGGTTGAATGTCAGTCTCAGAAAAGACCCTGTGCCCAGATATATTTGGTCCTTGTGGAGCTCCTATCCTTTCCCCATCATACTAACTCCCCTTCTTTCATATGATTCCCTGTGCTCTGTCAAAGGTTTGGTCATGAGTCTTTGTATCTGCTTTGAAAACACTGCTAGTTAGAGTCTTTCAGATGTGCTCAGTAGACTCCTGTCATATGTTCAATGCGCATCCCATCTGTCTTTCTAAACAAGGATTGATCATCTTACCCCATGTCCTCTCTCTTGATTATCTTTTTTAGGTGTATAGATTTCATTATGTTTATCATATCTTATAGGTCTATATAAGTGAGTATATACCGTGTTTGTCTTTCTCCTTCTGGGATATTTCACTCAGAATGATCTTTTCTAGATCCAACCATTTGCCTGGAAATTTCATGATTTCCTCCTTTTTGATTGCTGAGTAGTATTCCATTGTGTAAAAATACCACAATTTCTGGACCCATTCCTCCCTTGATGGACATCTGGGTTGTTCCCAGGTTCTGGCTATTACAAATAAAGCTGCTATAAACATGGTTGAGCAAGTATCCCTTTTGTGTACTTGAGCAAAGTTAGGGTATATACCTAGCAGTGGTATAGCTGGGTCTTGAGGAAGCACTATTCCTAATTGTCTTAGAAAGCGCCAGATAGATTTCCAGAGTGGTTGTACCAGTTTACATTCCCACCAGCAGTGGAGGAGGGTTCCCCTTTCTCCACAACCTCTCCAGCATGTGTTGTCACTTGAGTTTTTCATCTTGGCCATTCTGATGAAACCTCCCCTTCTTAAGTTGCTTCCTTGGGTGTTTTGTCACGGGGATGAGAATCTGACAAATACACAAAGTAATGATTCTTCCTCCCTGGTGGGTAGACACACTTTAAGAGATTCCGTGATCTTACAGGGAAATAGGCGTGAGCACCTCCTCCCATTTAGGTCTGTGGCCTGTGGGGTGGACACTAGCCCAGCCTTTCTGTTTGTCTCCTGCCTCGACCTGGTCTCCTTGTGATGCATTCTTGCTTGTGATTGAACCTTAAAGGAGATGGTTGCTGCATTGCCTGAAGGTGACTGACAATCTGAAATTTTCTCACAGGTTTCATCATCTTAGAAAGGGTGCTACCAAGTCTCTTCAGCGGACTCTTTAGTTTTGGGAAATAAAAACAAGTCACAGAGTTCTAGAGTTGGGATGTTTTGTTTCAACCTCAATCCTGTCCCTAGTTTTCTCGGGTGGTGAAACATAGTCACACAAATATAAGATGGCCGTTGTGGATGAGATGATGAGAGGCTGGCCCTGCCTCCTGCAGCCATCATAAGAAGAGTCGGCTGTCTGTCACCTGTACTCCCAAACCCATTCCTGCTTTCTCTCCAATCCGCTTCTGGGGCTAGAAACTGGAGTACAGAGGTGGGTTCTGAATTGTGTATTTCTTTCTCCTAATGTGTGTGGATGTTATTCATTCCTTTTTAATTTTAATTAATGTATTCATTTATTACAATTTATTCACTTTGTATCCCCACAGCAGTCCCCTCCCTTGTCTCCCCACAGTCCCACCCACCCTTCCTCTTCTCCCCCTCTGCCCTTTTCCTAGTCCCCTAAAGAGAGAGATAGAAAGACCTGGAGGGGACAGGAGCTCCATAAGAACAACAGAGCCAAAAAACCTGGGCCCAGGGGGGCCTGCAGAGACCCAGAGACCAATACTCCTACCAAGGACCTTGCAAAGAGAGGACCTAGACCTCTTGTTCAGAGGAAGCCCATAGGCTGCTTAGTTTCCAAGTGGGTTCCCTAGTATGGGGTACAGGGACTATCTCCGAGATGAACTCAGTGGCTGGCTCTTTGAACACCTCTCCCCATGGAGTGCAGCTTTGAGGCTGCATAGAGGAAAATGATGCAGCCAGTCCTGATGAGGCTAGGGTCAGATGTTCATTCTTATTGGTGTTGATCTTGTTGTCCATCAACCTTCTAGGTTATTTGGTACAAGGCCACATAAAATAATAGTTTTACTATGGTTCCATTGATAACGTTAGTAAAATAGTGGTATGATACACTTCCACTTTTGGCAGAGGGGAAAGGACATGGAAAATAACCAGCATGATTAGGATGCCAGGAGAACTGAGAGTGTTCTCTTCCCTTAACCACGTTGGCTGTGCAGAAGGCTTGGTTAACATATATAGCCAGGTGTATGTTTACTGGGCTCTGTGTTCACACAGCTTATGACCAAATGCCCCAAAGCATGCCAGACAAATGACCACAGTGCCTAAAAATTAAACAGCGTGTCCCCAATATTACATAAATAAAATTTTATTATCTTTTATGCATGTGTGCTTGCATGTGTGTACATGTTGATGTGAGTACTCATGAATTTGTGTGTGTCCGTGTGCATGTGTGTGTGTAAACCAGACTGTGATCTCAGATGTCATCATCAGGAACACTATTCACTTCTTTTAAGACAGGTTCCTCACTGGCCTGGAGCTTGCCAATTAGGCAAGGTTGGCTGTCTCTGCCTCCTCAGAGCTAGCACCAGTGGTGTGCAGCACACCAGCTTTTTACATGAATGCTGGGGACTGAAATGTTATCATCCTTTTGCCACGGTCACTTTACCAACCCAGCTCTCTCCCTAGTCTTCAAGCATATACAGTACAAGCTTTCTGAGTGAATGTAGCAACATTGAAAAGAGACCAGTCTGCATTTTACTACTGTCCAAAGCTCCATGCATAATACAGTTGCATGGGGCCTGCAGAGATGGCTCAGTAGCTAGGAGTGGTACTCCCTGCTCTTTTAGGGGACCTGGGTTCAGTTCCCACATCAGCTGGCTTATGACAGCCTGTGAATCCATCTCCAGGCATCCTCTAGCCTTGGCAGGCACCAGCACCCACACATACATACCCACACACATGCATATAATTAGAAAATACAAAATAAAATTTCTAAAAAGAATAATTTGTGTATATGTACCCGTTATTTCCAACATTGATTACCCTAACTGTAATTCTGTAATGATATCAATGGTGACCGACACTATGACTTCATACAAGAAAAACACTTCCGAATGTTTTAAACTATTTTTTTTACACATGGAATTACACACAATACAAAATACTTGTATTACAAGTTGAAATCTTTACATTCGTGGGTTCAGGACAGCAATGCAAGTAACATCAGCGCTTCACTTAGTGACTCATTTCATTGGGCTGAACACAAAGCCAAGAAGGAATTATTTGCCTACATTACTTTCTAGTCTCTGAATTAAAAAAAAAAAAGAAAAAGAAAGAAAGAAAAAATGAAAACGACTCCTATCTTCTCTGTTATATGTCAGAATGATAAACAACATCAGCAATTAAGTAGTCTGGCATTTCTATAAATGGGAGTTTGTATCCCGATAGCTCTTATGTTGTAAATCCTGAGGCTCTTACTAAGTTTGTCTATCAAATTGTCATTATCTCAGCTTTCAGGAAAATTACATCATCTTTGGTAATAGGCTGCCAACAAACAGAAACTGTAGATTACACCATCCCTCCCCCCCAAAGAATCCTGTATTTTAATGAATAGCTGAATAAATAGACACTAATTATGAAATTCACATTAAGATAGAAGAAAAACCAACTGTTTTGTTTCCTTTGCCTCGTCAATTGGACAACTGGACAGCTGCCACAAAATGCTCTGTTTGTGTTAGGGTGAAACAAGCTTAATTACAAGGGCTAGAACTGAGAAGCCCTGCAGGTATGTACGGTAAGTGGGAGGAGCCGCCACAGAGAGAAAGGTGCCTATATACACGCTGGCTTTCCTCTCTGTTTGCGTGGAGAAACACTGTTTTGCATAATGGGAAACACGCAGTAGAGCACGCAAAACAGGGACTGAGAGAGTATGCACAGCAGGATAATCAAACAAGACATGAGAACTATGGCCTAACAAAAGAATCTGAGCTGGAAAACAACAACAATAACAGGGAGGGATGGAAACCTGGAATGCTTTCATATTGAGGTTTCAGAATACAGATTTATCTAACAAGCCTCTTGGTACTTTTTAAACGTTTCCACTCAATCGCCTATGGTTTAAGTGCAGAGCTAAAAATAAACCATCGTATTATACAAAACTTTGTATATTAGCATACAAAAGGTAACAATTTACTTTTTGTATAAAATATAACCTTTCGATAGTATATTTATTTCACATATGTATAAATATAATCCAAAGAATATGTTTTAAGTATTTCTACCAAAATATTCTTTACAAAAGTTTACAAAACAAGTAATTTATTAATATTTACAAATCAGCACAGAAAAGATTCTGGGCCAGTGATATTGGAGCAGTGGAAAAGAAGGAGAGAACCCAATAGCATTATAAAGGCTGAAAGAGGGCTTTACAGAGCTTTAAAAATGTCTTCCTTGTCTGAACAGATTTGTGACGATTTGGTGCTTAGAAGACTTGAGTTAAATCACACTTTATATTTAAGTATGTGAATGTATAACTCAAAGGTTGACAGTAACCTTTGATTCTCTGGATTTAGGAACATGGTGTGGTCTTTTAAAGGCATCCCTAACCAGGACACCTCTTCCACTTTGCAGTGTACAAAGACGTGGGCACTGAGGTTCAGTGACCCAAACAAATCCATGTTTTGCTCTAACACTCAGCCCTGAGCAAGGAAACCTGGCTAAGAAGGGCCCAGGCACCATATGGCAAGGATTCACTGTATCGTGAATAGTGTGAGTAGGTGGCTACTTACAGGCCACCCTGGGCTCAGCTGTTCACCCAAGTCCAAGTACTCTGTCCAAGGAAAGTCTATATTGTCTCTCAGTTATACTCCCTCTAAACTCTGTGAAATAGCTTTGTGCCCATTCATACCCTTCTTCTGTTTCTCAAGTCCAATCAAACAGGATACTCTCCAGTCTCACTCTAATTAAATCTTTCTCTTTCTTTCTTTCTTTCTTTCTTTCTTTCTTTCTTTCTTTCTTTCTTTCTTTCTCTCTCTCTCTCTCTTCTCCTTTTTTTTTTTTTTTAAAACAAAACAGTCTCTGGCTACCAAAAAATATGAGGACAATTAATTCCACTCTTTTGGGGAACAAACAAGTGGGCACCAACTACAGCGAGAAGAACTCTGGTTGTCTGTGGCCATGGTTGTGTCTTACATGGCATGGTTCAAATTTTTTGAAGTGGAATTTGATGCAGGCAGTTGTGCACAGATACATCAGTGTGATCAGCACGAGTCTTAATTATCTATAAAAACTGGTAAGGAAGGGCCAGTCAAGCTGGAAGCCCTGCATTCCTGTCTTATCACGAGACACAGCATCCCACCAAAAATTACAAAAATGAGGAGTACATCTAGGAAAGAAATTGTATAGTTTGCTGGATGGCTCCTAGGTTTTCTGGTTCTCTCTTAGGATTCCTGTAGGTTACTCCAAACAACCATGTAACATTTCACTCTTTCCTGCAAGCTTTAGGACAAGGAAAGATAGTGGAGAAATCAACGCATACTTATCTATTAAAACAGATGGCAGTCTGCTGCCTGTTGCTCAGAACAAACACCTGTCTATGATACGGGACTGAAACCAGTCTCAAGTTCCATTATATTTCCTTCCTCGAGAAAAGGAGCTCGGGAAGACCATTTTACACAGTTCATTACACATCAATATCACAGTTGTGTTTGAATAAACTGGACAACATGTGCTGAAGTTCAGGCAGGGAAAATTTATCTTGATGTTTTCCTATCAGGCTCAACATTTTTAAAACAAGCATGCAAACCAAAATTTTCACCACTGTGGTTACTGCCAACTTTCTGTTTTGGTGCTTATAGTCCACCCGGGAGTTAGCAGTTTGGCATTGCAGTGTCCTTGTAAATTGATGCTTGGAGCCTGCAAACCACCTTCTGTTTCTCCTTAGGAATTGTTTCCCAGGATTTCATCAAGATTGATGTCTTTCATCCAGTCGTCATTGCCGGGCTCTGTCTTCAGCAAGGAATCGATGAAATCAGCATCACTGTTTAGGGCAGGGCCCATACTGTCCGTCTGTTGGCTGAGGAAGTCAAAGGCTAAGTCGCTACTGTGGTCAGTTCCTTGAAAAGCCCTGGAGCTTTGGTTGGATGAAGGAAAAGTGTTAGGTGTCAGGGATGGTGGCTGGTTGGTGCCTGTCCTCTGCTGATTCAATCCTGTTCCTGATGGGTTCATGTTAGACAGACTCTGTGTGCTCAGCTGATTGGGTCTGAGGTTCAAACCCCTGAGTGGACCCAGGGTTTGCCCATTTAATGTCTGACTCATTTGGTTCATAGGTCTCATTTGCACTGCTGGCGTTAACTGGCTAGGTGGCGCCACCGCCCTCTGGGGAAAGGGCTGGCTCCCCACTCCTGGTTGCAGTGACTGGTTTGGGGTATATGCTGCAGGGGTACCTGTTGGGAAGCGGACTCCTGTGGATTTGAGGGCTTCCTGTTGCTTCACTGTTACATCTTGAGAAGCCCAGTTTGTTGCTGTCGTGTTGGATGTGATCATGACAGATGATGACCTCTGGGCTGGCATGCCTGCCAAACTGTGAGCCAAATTTGGTCTTAACTGTTGTGAATTGCCAACAGACCCAGCTCCAAAGGTGGCCACGTTGTTACCGTTATTTGCCCCTAAGGAAGATGGCCGTGGCATCAGAGGGTTGTTCTGATTTGTTATCAGTTGAGTTGTATTTCTTTGTTGGGTCAGCTGATTCATGGCGGAAGTGACATTGTAGGTGCCAGGCTGGTTACACGGCAGGTTTCCATACATCCCTATGTTCTGAACTGCTGTGGACAACAACGGCATCCTCATCCCATGAGATGTAGACATGAGGCTGGGGTTCGAAGTTAAAATGGTATGTGTTGAAACTGGGTTTGTCAAAGCCTGGTTAGAATTCAAAGTCACCGTAGAGGAGCCACCTACGACAGAGAAGAGAATTACATTCATTCAAAACAGTACAGCATTTCTTATTTCGGCTTGCAAAAACTTATCATCTCCAGAACTGCTTTCATCTGAGAGATGAGTTCGACAAATAACATCTCAAACATACTGCATAAAAAGAACAGAAGAGATTTGGGAGAAAACGTGGCCTCAGGCCACTCCTTGGTTAAGAGTTTGCACATTACAGAAAGCATACTGAAATACAATGGTTTTATTCGATAGTTTGTATTTTCTTTGTCTTCTGAAGTCATTGAGGTGACAGTCAATTTTTCATTTTGAATTGTTTGCATTGTGGTCTCAGTTTGAAAACTACATCTTTGATTAGCTGGCTGTCATGATATCTAGGTTACTCTTCACCCCAGGGTCGAAATCAGAAAGTGGGGGATAAATCCTATGCATGGCTACTACACTACTATTCCTAACCTGTGACCTAGAAAATCATGTCTCATTCTTTATCTGCATCGTCCTCATGCAAGCAACTGCTATATGTGGCTTCCCTGCATCCAAAGGGCAAAGGAAGTGCCATCTCTGTAAGATGTGGGATTTGGTATAATCTGTGCTCTGAGGCTGATTGTTCCATACGGGAAGCCTGCGAGAAGGTGTGCAGTTGCTCCTGTACTGCTATTGAATATACCACCAGCCACCTTTGCTCATCTGTTTCCTGCTCTCGTGTTGCTCCCTAACCCCTCAGGCCTTATATTTGTTTCAGGTTTCAGGCCAAGCCTGAAGCTCTTATGTGAAGCTTTTCCTGATGTCCTCTCTCATTTCTTTGTCTGCCATTTTCTGTTTGACCCTTCCACTAAGCACTGTGGCAATCTGCCAAGGCTACCAATTAAACTGATAACCTGTCAACAACCGACTGGATGGGAGGCAATAACTGGATCCCACGTTGGTGAACAAGAAGGCTTCATACAACAGACAGTGACTAATAGATGCACTGAAATATCCCTGGCTCTGTAAGGCTGAAGTGACACTGGGAAATCAGCTCCAGAGGCAAAAACAAAGGGGGAAAAAGTACCTTAGATGACAAATTTCACAAGGAAGTCATTTTCTCTTGTTTTGTTTGCAGCTGTACTCCAAGTTTTGTTTTGTTTACAGCTGTACAACAATGGCTAACAGTTGTTCGACTGAATTTTGAATGGTTTAATGAAACAGACTGAAGGAAGGACAACATCCAGAGAAAGTTGCTCTCATGAAGATATTGAAACAGAACCACACACACACGCACACACACAAGTATGAAATAAAAGTTAAGAGAAGAGCATCCCCACCACTTAGGATATTCCCTGCTGTTTGAAGACCTGATATGATGTGTCACCTAAAAGACAAGTCAAGCCAACATGGTAGCTTTGTTCTTTACTGCAGAATGCATCCTCAACTAGACCACATACTCTTCCAATACAGGAGTCTCTTCTACCTCCTCCCACAGAATCCTCTGTGGGGCACGTACCTAAGTATATGATGAGGCAAACTTAGAGCAAGGTAATATGAATTTAAGCAATGTCATCTTCGCAGCTGAGGATTTTGCAGTAAGGGGATTTGTTCTATATAAGTAATATAGGAAACAAATCAGAAGTTTTAAAGCTGGACATGCAGCTCAAGGAGAGAATTCTTGCTGAACATGAGCAAGACTCTGGGATCAATTCCCCTCCCCAACTAAAGAAAAGAAAATCAAATCTACGGTGTCTCTTTAAAAAACATATACCCTAAGAAGGCATATGAAGAAGGCATGTTTTTTCGTTGTTGTTGTTTCATTTTCTTTTTTATTTTACAGTTTATTACTTTTGTGTGCATTTGTGTATGTGTTGTGTCAGGCATGGAATGTTTCCACACACAAATGAAAGTCAGAGAACAATCTGTGGGAGGCAGTTCTCTCCTACTCTGCTGGTCCGCTGCGATAGAACTTAAATCATCAGGCTTGGCAGCAGGTTTCTTTACCCATGGAGCCTGGAAAAGAGCCTTTCACGAGAACAGAGCAGAGAGAATTTCTATAAAGAGGGCAACCAGCAGTTAAGACTTAGAGACACCTAAAACGTAGTAGATACAAATAGTTACAGTAGTTCTTTTTGTTCTTTACTCTGATATAACATCTCGGAAGGAATCATTTCTGCACAGATGTTAACATTTACAGCGATATGAAAGGATTTGTTCTCTTTTGTTGCTGCTTGCTTTATTCTTGGAGGCTCATGAAGTAGAATACTCCAGAATACTGACTCTTACTCACTTGGGGTCAGCAGTGGTGTGCAAAATACCTCCCTCGGGAAATGCACACGTTTTCTTTGGAAGGAGCTATTAGTGGTGGTGCTGGTGGTGGTGGTGTGTTCTTGTCCTATGCTGTCTTTCTCTGAAACGGAGCCCTGATGTTTGCAGCAATGTGTCCACGTGATAAAGCACACATTCTGGGTTTTCTTGCTAATGGAAAATCCACAAGAACACATTCTGTTTGGAGGTAAAAGTGAGTGAATGGGAGTCCCAAAAATCTCCTTCAGAAGGGGCTGTGGCTTCTCTAGGAGGCCACTGACCTGTTCCCCTTTCATTTCCCTGCCTGGGATATGGATGTGGAGGCTCCTGCTGTGGTGTCTACAGGGCTGCCCTTAAGATGAGAGCCACATGCGAAGGAATCAGAAAGACGAAAGGAGCCTGGACACTGACAGCCCTGTGGAGAGTCAGACCTCTATCCTGGAGATTCTTTTATCCTGGAGAAATATTAAACACCTACCTGAAAACTTGTCTACTATGTCAAAGGATTCTTGGGGTCCCTCAAACCTGTTGGTTGGCATAAGAATGTGCTACACATTAGATCGCTACTGTCTTTGAGAACAACCGAACTGAGAGCTCAGGCTTTACATTTAAACAAAATCATCTCAAAAGATGGAATACATATTTCCACTTCTACTTTCAGTAGAGAGACAACTTGTTGCATTTTCAGACATTTAAAAGAATTACAGCAACCTATTGAAGTATTTGTAGCAGGACAGGAAATAGTAATAGGAGTATCAACAGCCTCTTGGTTTTTAAAGACTATTCTTCTGATTTTTTTTTTTTTGAGTTAATTTTGTATCTAGCCACTTTGCTGAAGGTGTTTATTAGCTGAAGGAGTTCTGGGAACTATTCTTGATGACTTCTTGGACAGATGAAGACATGTTAAGAAAAGAAAAGTTGATAAACCAAAGATGCTAGTGTAATGTAACAAGAGAAAGCAGAGAGGTCCTAGCAGATGTGACTGGAATAGCTGCTGGAAAGGAAGAAGCAGGAACAGCATGTGCTGGGTTTGAGGAGGGTTCTTTGGGGTTCAGAGAACTTCTGAAGAAAAATTGCACCACAAGCACTTACCGCCTATTTCATTCTGGGAAAGTGAAAAGGTTTGTTTTGTGACTTAAAAAGAATTCACCGTTGGTTATGGAAGGCTTCATAAAACATAATTTGCTTTTTTAATTATTTCTTGTTGGCAGGGTGAATTGTCTTTGGGGGAGAAAACTTGGGGAGATGGGTTCAAAGGTAGAGTGAGAAAAGACTATGCAAGTGACAGTCTAAAAGGGAGCTCTTTCTAGTTAACATTATACTGCCATGGTCAAGGTCAGCATTGGGAGGAGAATAGATGACCATGGCAGTTCGAAAATATTCAGGCTGTTAAAATTCTCACAAGTAATTGAGAGAGCAGTGAACATGTGAACACAAGGGAAGGACAAGCAGCTATTCCTGAAGGACTAAGTGTATGTGTGTGTGTTTTGGTGTCAGGATAAAGAGAGAATCTCACAGCATAGTCTGGGCTAGCCTAGAACTTACTCTGTAGCTCAGGCTGGACTTGAACTCACAGTGTTCCTCCTGCCTCAAGAATGCTGGGCATATAGGTGTGAACCATAACACCAAGTTCTAAATGTGGTTTGGATCTGAAAGTTAAGTGGGAGCTTGTGAAAGGCTTAGGGCAGATGAATTATCCAAGATGGGGAGAAAAAAATATCGAGAATAGAATCGTTTTACTTTTTCACAGTCACAACTTATATTCATTTCAGAGAACTCTTACCAGAATACTGAGCAGGTGGCTGCAGACTGCCCGGATTTCTTCTCTGGTCTTTGTAGTCCGGGGGTGGCCTGGTCAGGTGTCGGTTCATCTGATCCTGAGGGGAGATTTTCTCCTTGAAAACACAAATGAACACATATGGAATTGAATGAGCACTCTTTTCTTACTTGCAAAATTCTGTATGATGTTCAAAAATGTACAAATGCAAGAATAATTTTGTCTAGGCATGGTGGTACGCACCTTAAATCCCATCACTCTGGAGGTAGAAGCAGGAAGATCACAAGTTTGAAGCAAACATAGGCTATCTAGTAGTGAGAACTTGGTCAAAGGAACTGAGCAGTGTTGCCCTGTGGACTTCACATATGCCTTATGCGGTAGCAGAAATTCAGAGACAGCTCTTTCAATCTGAATCACTTCCCGTGTGGAAGTGTCATTTCTGCTCCTCCATACATTTCAGCACCTCTACTGCGCATGCTCACTTCCTTCGTTTTCTAATTAGATTTCAATTATAACTAAACGTCTGTGGGCTTGGGGATGGTGCTTCTTGTTTTATGTTGTAGCCTGTCTGATGAGCTTTGGTGTCTGTAGACTATGGAAAACAGTTTGCCAGATAAAACAGAGAACACCTGTGCTTTCAGTAATTTGCTTTGGCAGTGCTGCCAACTCTCCAGGGAACAGCTGTCAGGAGACTTGCTAACCTTTCTGGTACTGTTTCGGGCACCATATGCGCAGTGCTTCTCTTCTACCTGCTTTTAACACATCTTTGAAGGTAATGGTGGCCATTTTCATTTGACAGAGGACATGCAAGATTCATTCAGGTAAGTAACTTGCCCAGAGTCACATAGTAATACAACGGATACTAATTCCAGAGCCAGGAACTCAGGATCCTTCATGCCACTCAACACAAAGACCTTCTCAGTGTCCTGTTGGAAAAACACAGGCTGTTCCAGAGCCAGCTACCTTTAGATTTTCCTAGTAGGTGAGTCTGGGCAGTAAGAGAGGGAATGTGGACATCCATTTACTGTTGCCAACACCCTGGCTAAGCTTCAGCAACACCCCCACCACTGTCATTACTCACAGCAGCAAGGAGCAATGAAGAGCCACAGCTGTCTCAGGAGGGCTGTGACAGAGCCTACCACAAGACTTGGGCCTGGGTGACCTAGGTAAGTGGATTGTTTGGCTAGATGGATGAAAGAAATATTTATTACCCATCAGCAGGGAAGGGTAACATTTAGGATTTGGGGAACACACAGTGACCTTGTTGGCTTTTAGAAAACATTATAAAGTGGTCTATTTGATCTTAGTTTATCATGATATCAGAATTACCCTGACTGAGGTTGGCATGTGTTGAGACTTATATGTTATATCAAGATGCCTCTACTGTGCCCACCTATCAGCCTGGGGCAGGGTGTCTGCTTCTTTTCTTTCTTGGTGTGCATTGGGAACTTTCTGAAATTGCTTCAGTGTAATTCTGTATACACTATAAAGCAATATCCATTCCTAAAGATAAGAATAACTGGAATAGGTAGAGACAGAAGGCTGTAATTGTAGGAAAGTCAATAAATAGAAAACTGTAATAGACAGATGAGGCCATTAGCCTGCGTTTGGACCACTCAAACTCACAGCTTCTACTCTGCTCTGAATTTTCTAGTGGGATGTGAGTGCTCTGAAGGGGGGCAGGGAAGGCCTTAAAATAACAACAAACCAAATTCATTTCTTGTTTCTGAGAAAAAACAAACTTGAAAGACTCATATAGTGTTTTTGGACACCAAGTAATTCATATAAAACATAATTTCGATGAGCTAAGTGTAAATGAATCAGAAACATATGGATTACATTTCTTCTTTTAAACATGGGTTTACAAATTAAGGGAAAAAGTGGTCAGTGAAACTCTTTTTTTTGGGGGGAGTGGTTTTGCCCAAACCCCGACTGTTTAAGAAAGAGCCTGGGGTCTTCCACCAACTCATTGTGGCTGTTATCAAGCAACCCTGTTGTAAACACTTGTGTAAAGTGACAGTTTCGCTTTTTAAGCCAAGAACGGGATTTTATGAAATCTCTTTTCCAAGAAGCATTTTTAAAATTTAATTAGGTGTTACTACTGTTCATATGGATGACAGTGTATGTGCGTGCAAGTTTGTATTTGTATGTGAGTGTGTGTGTGTGTGTGTGTGTGTGACAGTTCCTTGATTCCCAAATCACAGACAAGATTTCAAATGCAGATTTACTTGCATGTGTCTTGAGTAACTGACCTTTTCTCTCTCCAACAGATAGGCTGATTTGCCCAAAGCCTTAGCATACACATCTCTGGAAACCTGAGCTTCTTAAGACTCTGTGTTCACAAGCAAACTTGAATCTTGCTTATAGATATAGTGTAGACTTGTCACACTATAAGACCAGTGAGGTTCTCCAACACTGAATGGAAGAAGCTATTAGGAAGCTCCAGTGTAAACCCACACCTATCCCTGAAATTCACCTCTGTGCGAAATGAAATGAACTTTTCATTATGGCCCAATCTCTCTTGCTTCAGTTGTATCCATCTTGCTTTGGTTTCCTTAGTCATAAAAATGTAAGATTTGGTAGGTGCTAGGATCTTTCATACTCCTCCTCATATAAGGATGAATCCTTTTGTTCTGTAAAACCTCAGCGTGGTGCCTGGCACACAGTAGGTATGTAATACGTGCTAGTAATGATGATTATTGTAGTAACTGCAGCTCATCTCACTTTTGTGTGTGTGTGTTTCATTGGTAGGAGAATGGTAGAGAGTAAGACTGACGGACTTTTATGAAAAAACGCCTCTATTTAGGTGCCAGTCTGGCCTTGCCAAAGCCTTGAATGACTACAAAGCGTATGCTAATGTAAAGGGGCATCAAAGGCTGCTTCTTCCTGGATATGCTAAAAAGCATAGGCACCCTCAGTGACGTCCAGACAAAGAGAAGTGAGAATGCTTTGTATCGACCACAGAAAGTACAGCTCCATTCTCATTCATCTCCTCACTGCCCTCTGCACCTGTCCAGTGAGACTCGATGGGGGTCGGCCCAGCACCATCACTAGCCCCTCAAGAATGCATGCGTCACTTTTAATCAGGTCTTTTAAAAGAAGCAGAAAACCCGGAAACTCCATCTTGTAAAACTGATCAAATTTGCACTGTCAATGGGAATAATAAAAGTCTTTCTAGTGAGTCAGTTTGGCAACTTTCTCTCCTCTTCACTCTTGTTTCTAGACTATTCACGTTATAAAGATAAAACACGGGGGGGGGGAGAAGGGACAGGCATGGCCACAGATTACAGACCCCTCTAGTTTAAGCACTCTGTGCCACATGCCATTCCTTTAAAGACACATGTGACTGCAACAGTGTTACTAGTTTGACCTAAAACTAACCAATAAATAAAAACTGAGAGGATGATATAAACTCCAGTTAGTCTCCATTTTAGGACCAGGCCTGATTTTTGAGAGTCATCAGTCCCAGGAACAAGACCATAAACTTCCCTACCAAGGAACAGCCCAGAGATAACCACAAGAATGAAAAGAATATCCCAGGATGGGGCATCTGTGCTGGGCAGCTTTATCTCATCCTGTAGTTAAACATTCATGGCACAGGAAGACAGCCTACCAACCACCTGGATGCAACCCAATGAGGAACTGACCCATGTAATTTCTCCGGCTTCCACCAATGAGGTTTTAGATTACCTAACCCTTGCTAGAATTCCCCTAGTTTCCTATAAAAATTCCTGTGTGCCTTTGTCTAGGGTCACCATTTTGGAAAATGGTTTGACCCCTGCATGCCCTCTTGCCAGTTGCATCTGTGAGCGGTGGTTTTCTTGTGGTGATTTCTGACTCAAAAGAAACCAGGGCTGTCTCTTTTGGTCTTTGGTCTGCCCTCTGCCTAAAATGGTGGCCTCTACGCTTTCTATCAGAATGCTGTAGTCTTAATAGGTCAAAGCCAAATTTTACCTTATTTTGGGAGATGATTTGCCATACTTTCAAACTGGAGCTGGAGGGTTCTCTTCTACCAGCCTCTGTCTTTAGTTGGATTCAAATCTGAACACAGTGTTTCTTTTTCAAAAGCAGTTGCTTTCTAGGCAGGGGAACTTAGGAAACCTCTGTGTCCTGCACTTCTCCGTCCCTGATCACACTCTATGCCTTGACAATATGTATGGCCTTTGTTGACCTGGGTCTTGAGTGTACTGGGCTGGGAGGTCCACCCCCCATCCCCCCAAGCCTCCCAACTCCCTGGGCACCTTCTGGTGTAACCTCTTCTCTGCAGCCATTTCTAGCAATTTCTACAGCACAGCATACAAGTGAATGCTTTTCAATACTGGATTCCCAGATCTATCATGGCAACAAGAGTTTAGAAAAGGACTGTCTTGTTTGTGGCCTGCATCTTCATGATCTTTCAGTGTTCACTGAATATTCATTATATTTATAACAAGTTACACTTCTGACTGTTTCTATAAAGTTTCTTGAGTATAAAACGATTTGGTTGACTTTCTCATCGCATGGTGCTGGGTACCAAACCCAGATTCTCATGCATGCCAGGCAAACAGTCTGTTGCTGAGCCACACCTCCTAATCTGCTCTCCCCTTTTCCCTGCAGCTCTGTTAACCCTGGGCTGTTTGGCTTTTTTCACTGGACAGGGCAGTTTGGAGGGAGAGGGTACTGTAGTCTTATGTAGCAGAGTTTGGGTCAGATGTGTATGATGATGTCTGAGGATACAGAGGAATGAGTATATACATGCTGAAGCAAGGCTAAAGCTTGGATGGTGTTTGGGGACAGCAACTTTGTGGTTCTTAAAAGGTCAGGTAAATATGGCGGAATGGAAATTCATTTAAAATGTTCTTTTTAAAAAAGTTTCCCATTCTGAGATGCTTTGGTTTTTTTTTGGGGAAGCCAAATCTTGGTGGTGAAACTCCATGCTGGCCTTTAAAATTTTCCTTTAAAACTCATTTACCTCTGAAAATCAGTTTGGAGTTGAGGTGATTAAAGTGCAGTTCACTATTTCCACCCCTTGAGGCTGGGAACAACTGAGATTTCCTTTACTCCATTCAAATGCCCTGCTGGCCACAGACATTCCTGAACTGGGCAGGGCTAGTCATTGAGGGGCTGTGTACTCCATATGCCTAGCAGCTGGTAAATCAGGCTTCCCCCCCTTCCCTGAATTTTAAATGCATACGGTTTAGTTTCTGTAGCATGCACTACATTCTCCTTACTGTCACATAAGTAGATGAAAAGAACATAGCAAAGAACAGAAGGAAAAGAGACGCTTATCTCTCGAAGGCCAAGAAATGCCCACAGTGAAGTTAGGAGGAAGCTTTACCGAGTCAGCCAGCATCTGCTGCTGGAGGAGAAGTTGCTGCTTCTGCTCCATCGTTGGCCTCTGCAGGGTCTGTTTCTTCCCCATCATCTGCTGATTCAACAGGGATTGCTGGGAGTTCATATAGGCACTGCCAGTGTTTGGATTTGAGCAGGAGTTGGGACTTGGACTGGGGCCTGTGCTCTGGCCTACCACAGTGTGTTGATCCTGTAGAAGAAAAGGAGGAGGGAGACCACTGTGAATTAAATACAACATAGGGAGCACAAAGACGATAAGCATAGATTCCAAACATTTTCATCCTGTTGGAGATGAAATTTGGTCAATGGGTTGGATATCTGGAGACTTGCTTTTGAAATGTAGAAGAAACTGTTGCGTAACACTGCAGGCAGAATAGGTAGTCAACGGTGGGCATCTGATAAACTCCCATTGTACTTTTAGAATAGAGTTTCCTTGTTCCAGGAGGTCTTTACGGAACCCCAAAGAAAATTACCATGAAAATATCCAGTAATGCCCTCAACTTCTCTGAAGTAAAGGCATCACTGAGCAACAGCCATCTTTTTCTCTCTCAAGGCAGTGTGCTTTTGTTATTTCTGACCCTACAATGAAAACAGTGTTTCCAGCCATGTGTTTAAAGTTGAATAGCCATTCTGGACAGGAGGTATTTGACCTCTTACTCAGAGACTTATGGATCTCACAGCAGTTTATGCTAAGGGTACACTCTACTCATTGGCATTGATGAAGAAAATAATGTCATATAGCAAGTAATATTGGATATCAGTGAAATGTCACTGATCTGAGAATTCTACCAGTTTTGGGGCATTGATAGATTAGAGCCTTGCAGGGAAGGGAGGGAGCTAAGTCCTGCGAAGAATCATCATTTTCTAATGAAGTACACGGAGCTCTGTACTAGAAGGGCTCCAAGATGACTAGAAAGCATGTCTTCTTGGAGAATTCATGCCTACCCAAGGGTTGAAAAACTGCTCATATTATAGAGGTTAGGAATCATAAGATCAACCTGGGCACAGTGACATATTCTTGAAATCCCAGCTCTCAGAAGGTGGAGGCAGGAGGACCGTGGGTTCAAGGTCATCCTCTGATATATAATGAGTCTGAGGCCAACCTGGGACACAGGAAGCTAAGAGAAGTCTCAAAACAAAAATACAAAACACAACAAACAAAACATTATACAAGTTTAGATTATGTAATAGAAGCACATCAAAAATCTTCATCTGTTGATGATCCGGGAGGCAGCTTACTTTACAAAGGTGCCAGCCCATGCTCATGCCCACTTGGGAAACACAAAATGCACAGAAGGAACGCCATTCACCGCTTATTCCCTAGTTGAGCAGCATGTGCTTACAGGAACTCTTGCTGGGGTTGTTGTTCACGCCTGCACTCCCAGCACTCTGGGAGGTAGAGGCAGGTGGATCTCTGTGAGTTCGAGGCCAGCCTAGTCTACAAAGTGAGTCCAGGATATCCTAGGCTACATAGAGAAACCCTGTCTCACAAACAACACAAACAAGCAAACAAACAGGAACTCTCATGATGCCTGTGTGGTAGGGGTGGCACACCACATTCAGAAATTACCTTCTCCTTTATTCCACTTCAAAAATACTCTAACTTCAAAGCTCTTTTTAAAGAAGTAGAAAGATGACAGTCTGAAAACCTGGGCAAGAGGAAACTTGATCTTAATAGCTATCTCAGACAGTAAGGATATCTAGAATAATCCTAAGGACAGCCACACACCAAGACTTAGCACACAGGCCAGTCACAACATTCAGTGCTTTCCAACATTTGTTCAGTCCTCCCACAGAACGAGCAATGTTTTCATTTCAATTTCTCAGATGAGCTATCTGAGCTGAGGGAGACCTTGGAACTGAAAGTGTGAAAATGGGAGAGGGTTTAAGGCCAGGTCAGCCTGACTGAAGAGTGCTCGCTGTCCATTGCATGCCCCTCTCCAATGCTGCTCTGAGCCGAGACAGTAAACATTGACAACAGAATGAGCCAACTACCAATACAGTCATCGTTTGTGACCTTCTTTCCATTTTAAATCCATATATCCCGTGGAAGTCATTTAACCCGTGTGTCTTACAAGCCACCACGAATGTGGACTTGAAGCCAAGTGCTTGAGGGTCCCTGGGAGAGTGGACTAGAGGAAGATCTGTGAGTTGAGTGTCTTGGAAGGAAAGCGGAGGAGGGAATACATGGGGACTGAGGGCTGAACCTTTGGGGCTTCTCAGATAAAGGAGAGGGAAACAGAATCTGTGGTGGGAGGAAGGAGACAGGGAAGAAAGAGTGTAAGAACCATTAGAAATGATGGTGGAAGGAATCAAGCTGAGAGAGAACACACGGGAAACAGCAGTTGGACCTCTGCTCTATTTCAACCAGAACAATCTTTTTTAAGATATAATCTGAAGTTTTATACAAGGCATTGAGAAAAAATATTTCATGTTTAAAGGAAATGATTGACAAACAGATAGAGAAAAATCTAAAGGACTTTTAAAAATCCCTTCTCACACCCAGGGAGGCAGACACAGCTGGATCTCTGTTCGAGGCCAGCCTGATCTACAAAGTGAATTCAGTACAGCCAAGGATACACAGAGAGAGACCCTGTCTTGAAAAAACAACCAAGCAAACAAACAAACAAAAACAAAAACCAAACAAAATAAAAACCCATAAATAAATAATAAAAAAATCTTTTTACATGGTTGCTTAAAGTTGGTTGTATTTTTTTGTTTGTTTGTTTTTTTGCATGGCTGTACAGTAGACAAAAGCAGGAGCTCTAGGATATAGCCTTCCCCAATCCATGCCTGGTTCTGGCAGTTAATAGGTGGAGGTCCGGCAGAAGTGAATTTGCTCTCCTTATCTGGAAAATGGGAGCAGGGTCAAGGATGGTACTCACGTCACAGATACCCTGCGAGAGCGAGAGGGTACAGTCAAATGGCTGGCTCCCACACAGTGCTTCCACCGTGGGCACTCATGGCTGCTAGTGCTATTTCGAGAGTGCATTTTTATTTTTATCTTTTTCCTTTTGAAGTAACTAAGTCAGCCTTGCAGGTCACTGAAAGCTGTTCTATGAAAACGTGATCAGAGACTGAGAGTTCAGCTGGAACTGGAAGGGGACACATAGATATACACCCTCAGCTGACACAGGAGTTTACCAGCTACACCGGAAGACGCCCATGCCGCCGTGTATGGTCCCTCACCCATGAACATACCGGCAATACTGACTAGACTCAGAGGGTTATTAATGATGCCAAGAGGGAGAACATGAAGTTGGGAAGAAAAGGGGCTGGAGGGCACCAGGGGAAATTGGAAGGAAGCACTGTGGACAGACAGGATCAAACTACACTGCAGCAACATATGAAACTTTCAAAGAGTAAATGAAATGTGATTTAAAAGAAAACTAAAAGAAAAGAGATGGACAGAGTGTTTGGTGTTGGCAGAACTGGTGAGCTTCAAAATGATTTCCAGAGAAATCTGGAACAGCACCCATCTCTGAGATTTATAAAGGACGTGCATGCCAAGAAAATGCAGCTCTTTTTCTCTCTAATCAAACAGATGGACTGTTCTAAATTTAGTTTCATTCCTAGACAATACCAAAAATATTCTAGGACCCTTTTCCCTAGAGTCTCAAGTGTTGTCCAAATCTGAAACTAGTGCTGGAGTGGAGGGACATGCTCTGGTGTGGAGGAGAGAGGGAGAGTTAGATTCTTTTGGAATTTTGTAGTTTTCACCTTTGAACTTGTAGCTCATAGGCCTTACCATGGCGCTCTTACACACTCTTGCAGTTCGTAACTGAAGTCACATTTAGCTGCTGTCACATTTTCTGCCCTTATGTTAGCTGCGAAATACAAGACACCTCTTTCACAGACATGCCTTCATTGCCAAGATGTTGTGCAAACTTCAGTACATAAAATATTTTGAAAGAAAAATATGCTCCAAAGCATTGGCTCTGGTTTCCACATCCAGCCTTCCTTTAACCCCAGATTCAGCCACGGAAAACTCAACACCACAAGAATCATCTGGTTCTCCTCCCACTCAATGCATCTTTCCTTCTGGAAGGCAAATAAAAGTAATGGTAAAGTTGGCACATCCTCATCTTCCATGATACTGTGCATATGTGTATGTATTCCTGTGGCTGTGAGTGGCTCATGCCATTTCCATTGATGTAGTGTTTTCTATCATAGGAAACCCAAGATTCTAGAGAAATTGGAGTCGAAGATTTATTTGTTAGCAAGTAACAAGCACAGACTGACTAAAGTAATTAATTTGAACTATCATTTATGTTTTTTTTTCTGTTGTAAGCTCTAATGCTATAATGTTTGATGCTAACCCGACCTTTCTTCATTTCCATTTAGTATGTAGTCATAAGCTTCCATACCTGAGGTGTATATGTGTGTCGAGATTATGGGTGTGCACTCCCACATCCAGCTTAGAATACAAACAAACATACATACATACATATCTGTACATATATTTAACTTTCTACTTTAAATTTTTTGAGATTATTTCCCCCCTTTCTTTCCTCCTACTAAATCCTCCCATTTACCCCTCCCCACTCTACATCAAATTTATGACCTGTTTTTTTTTCAGCAATTGCTATTGCCTACATGTATGTATTTGATTATACATATATGCTCCTGAACACAACATGTTAGGTCTGTGTAATTTTACTTGTATGTATGTTTTCAGGGACAACCAATAGATGTACTCACTCTTCCCTGGGGAAGCCCACGTCTCCCATTCCCAACTTCCCTTCGTTGCTTACAGTTCTTTGTGTAGGTTGAGGCCTCAGCTTATAATACATACTTAATGAAACAGTTTGTGTGAAGAAAATCTCAGCATCAAATGGCAAAAGCAAAGCAGATCTTTCTTTGACAGAGGATCTCAGTAAATTGTGGGCAACATGCAAGTAATCTTTCTAAAAGATGCTACACAATGAAAATAATGTGGTTAGTTATTCTGTTCTAATTTGAAACAAGGATTCTGTCTATTGTGGAGAACCACCTTCAGCCAAAGGTAGGAAGCTATTGTATTAGTCTTTCCAGAAGACAGCAAAGAAAAGGACCTGCCAGTTCCTTGAGAGGTATTTGAGATGGTAAGACTCACCGAATTTAGTCACTGTTAAAACAGTTTTATTAGCTGGACAGACACACAGCAGCTTTTACAAAGGATTCAAAGTTTGAAAAGAAGTATTGTTCTCT